TTTCTACTACTTTATCCTGCTTCTTTGTGTGGACTGTGATGGTCTGTTGTTTCCGGGACATCGTGACATTGTTGTATTTAGATGTCTGTTAACTGTTTGTGAAGAGCAGCCAAGGGTGGTTCTGGCTTTTCTCGGAGGTTTTTTATCGTTGGCCACCACTTGGGAATGTCCAAGCCGTTTGTGCCATCTGGGGCGCTCAGGTCCCTGCCAGACCGCATCTCTGTATGTCTCCTTTTTTGGTATTTTCACGCAAATTCTTCTGCTAGTTGGGGTTTAGTCTACTTCTGTATCCTTCCTTTCAAGGCTCAGGGGTCCAAGATTATCTTCTGTGCATGTGTTAATTGTTTTCCCTTTTCTTTGTTGAAGAGGGTCTTGTAGTCCTTCTGCCTAGTCTGCCATCTTGTGGGAACTCCCTCCTGCATGTACTTTTATAACATGTGATCCCAGTGGTGTAAGATTTGTGGTGAAGGGTGGTTGAGGCAGTTAATGGCACAGTCTGATGCAGTGGCAAGTTGGAAAACTGAGGAATGTCCTCTGAAGCTGAGAGAAAAAGCTCCTACTCCTTCTTGCCACTGTCTAGCTTTCCCCGAGGCCAAAGGAGGAGCAAGCCTGATGGTTACTGTTATCAGAACCAAATAGGGAACCTCCTCATGCCACTGGCCATTTCTGCTAACAGCTCAAGGAGCTACATCAGAAAGAAGGGGGTTCTTAGATGAGACTAATCTTCTAGCTGATACGAGAGGGTCTCCTTGTATGAGAAACACTTCCTTCAGACATGACCCTTATCCTGCTCTCCTTTCAACAAAAGAGGGAGTTAGTAGTTCTGAGGGACAGCTGGCATAACCATGAGAAGTACAGAGGGAGTTTGCCATTTGGCTGAGGACAAAGGGAGAGCAAATAATTGATCTCTCAGGGGTTCCCGTTATGTGAGGAGTACTATTGTATATTGGGAAATATAAGAAGAAGATTTTAGAGGCCAAATTTATGTTGATTAAAAAATAAAATGAGGCCCAGGACCTCATGCACATAGTCCTGGAGACAGACAATGTATGGATGAGGCTAGTCACCTTTCCATTCCTTCATTTCTTTACAGATTTATTCCTTGGCCCCTTCCACCTTCCCACATCTCTTTCCAGAAGAGGCATAGAAGAAAAAGAAAGGTTGTAATTGGATTTGTCCTTATGATCTGAGGAACCATTGGCAGCAGAACGTAGAAAGGAGGCCCTCAGTCAAAGCCAAAACAGTATTCCCTCTGAGGCATGAAAAATGGAAGAAGGTAGCAGGGACTTATTTAAAATTCAGGCAGAACCCATAAGCCACTGAGTCTACTGACACTGGGGCATGCCTCACTAGATGCCAGAGTCCCAAGGTGGGGATTTCTCATACTCAGCTGACCCAGTGCTCATCAAACTGGCAAACCAAGTATTGCAAGCCAGGCAGCAACGTTCAGAGACTTTGCACTCCTAATGGAGGACTTAGATGGTCTTTGGCTTTAAAACATCTACTGCAGTTTTCCACCTCTAATCTTAATCTGAGCCTTAACTCTCTGCTAGGTATTTGATTCCTTACTACAGTAAAAGTTTTCCAGTAGAGCTCAGTATTTGGCCTAATAGTTTTTATTTTCCCTTATCAAAGTTACACATGAGAAATTAGAAGACCTTTAGCCATCATTATAAATACAAGGAGATCCAGAGCAAAAGTATCCCTGAGCATATAACAAAGGACCAAACAGTTGTTCTCAAATTGTAGTTTCACTGGAATCCCCTGGAGAGTTTATCCTAAAATTCATATTTTCAGGTAGGCCTTAACTGCTGTCGAGTCAGTCCCGACTCATAGTGACCTGTCCTTGGGTTTCTGAGGAAGTATCTCTACGGAAGTAAATTGCTCAGTCTTCCTTCTGAGAAGTGGCTGTTGGATTTGAACAGCCAGCCTTCTGGTTAGCAGTCAAATGTCTTAGGTACTACACCACCAGAACTCCTAATCAGTAGGGTTAGGGTGGGATCAAGTAGCCCTTGTGGTGGAAGTGGTGAAGTGCTTGACTGCTAACTAAAAGGTCGGCTATTTGAACCCACCAGCAATTCTGTGGGAGAAAGATGTGGCAGTCTGCTTTCATAAGGATTACAGCCTTGGAAACTCTATGGGGCAGTTCTACTTTCTCCTACAGAGTTGCCAGAAGTTGGAATTGACTCAACAGCAATAGATTTTTGTTTGTTTGTTTAGGGTGAAATTAAGGGGGTCTTGTTGGCAATCATTAAGCGTTTGGCTGCTAACTGAACAACTGGTAGTTCAAATCCATTAGCCACTCTGTGGGAGAAAGATGTGGCAGTCTGCTTCTCTAAAGATTACAGCCTTGGAAACCCTAAGGGGTAGTTCTATTCTGTCATACAGAGTCACTAGGAGTTGGAATTGGCTTGATGGCATAGGTAGGGTGGGCTCAGGGAATCTACACTTTGAGGAATAGGAGATTCTCATGAAGGCATTTTGTGGCCCACATTTTGAGCAAGCTTTCCTAAGGACTACACTATTAAATATAAATAAGACATCAGAAGCAAGCACTGGATCTTAATGTGGGGGCTTAAGCTCCTGACCCAATTTTTAGTGAGTCAGTGATGATTCTAAGTGTTTACATTCACAGAAGAAACATAACCAGAATGCTCCTTAGAAGTGAAGACAGCAAGACTTTGGCTGACTTCCACTGGACATGTCATCAGGAAGGACCAATTGCTAGAAAAGGACACCAGGCTTGGAAAAGTAGGTCAGTAAAAATGAGGGAAGCCCTCGATGAGATGGACTGACACAAGATCCTTAACAATGGGCTCAAATATATCAATGATCATGGAGGTGGTGCAGGACCAGGCAACCTCTTGTCCTTTTACACATAAGGTCACCACGAGTCAGAGCTGACCTGAAGGCAACTAACAAGAACAAATGTTAGGCTGATGGGGAGACGGAGGATTTGTAATGTCACACATTCACTCAGTCATTATTAGGAATAGGGAATACAGACTTGTTAGAGGAGGAATTATTACATTTTAGACAAGTCAGGTTTGCAGAGATCTGTTAGCATATCCGGAATGAAAAGGCTGAAGTGATGTTGTTGTTAGGTGCCGTCGACTCAGTTCCGACTCATAGTGACCCTCTGTACAACAGAATGCAACACTGCCCATTCTCTACGAAGCTTTGATACCCAATAGCAATGATGGAGGTAAGGTTTCATACGTGGATTAACTTCAGCAGATTGTTAAATCGGTCCACTTCCTGTCCAAGAACAGTGGTCAAGGAATTAAGGCGTCCTTGAGGATCCTTGGTGAAAAGACTTTCTGAAGCACCCTCCATTTCCAAGATTTCTGAAACACACACAGTTGATTTATAAGATCAGTCATCATTGATTTCTATCTTTATAATTTTGTTATTTAATGTGCTTATATTAACAACTTAAAGCCAATTTCTCCCATTATTCAAGTCATATGTACAGGGCTTAAATCAGACAAAATCTGGATAATTTAGAGCTCTCTGGCAATTCAACTCTCTTTATTATAGAAGCAATCACAGAAAATCAGGCTTAAATTCAAGCATATCAGGCATAGATTGATCAATGGATCAATCAATTATCTATCATTTAAAACACTAAACTAGTGCATTTTATGTTTTACCTCAAAACATGTTCCTTGTGGCTGTTTTCATTTCTGCCAGTCTGGGTATGTGGTCTATGATCCTGGGATAGGGAGGGTAGGTATGTGACTGCTTTAGTAAAATACTAAAGCTGCTGTGCTAACTGAGGTGACTGTGGGAGGAGGAGGGAGGGGTAGAGAAGGAAAAAGATGAAGTGGGAAGTCAATGTGGCCCAGCAGTATCTTTGTGCTTCGGTGGGAGTTTTGCCTGGAGGGGTCTTTACAGTGGATGAGGAGGCTCTGCAGGAGGACACAGAAAGGTGGGCCTGGGCCTGGGCTGAGTGGGAGTCATAGCCAAGCAGACTTCAAGGCAGAAAAGGGACATCCTGAGACCAGAGGGGGCAGAAGGCACTGCCTTGGGACCCTCAGTCTTTCCCTCTGCTATACAAGTATGTAAGCCACACTCTTCCCCAAATACCTACCCTTCAAACAAAACAAACCAAAAAAGAAACTCTGGTGGCACAGTGCCTAAGGTATCTGACTGCTAACCAGAAGGCTGGTGGTTCAAACCCTTCAGTGATTCCTCAGAAGGAAGATTGGGCAATCTACTCCCATAGAGATACTGCCTCAGAAACCCAAAGAGGGGTCACTATGAGTTGGATCCAACTCGAAGGCAGTGAGTTTGGGGCTATGAGTCTTTCCTTCTGCTCTATAAATATGTAAGCCACACTCTTCCTCAAATGCCTACCTTGCATCTAAGAGAAAAAGGCCTGGAGGTGGGAGATGAGACAGACTTAGTATTTATCCCAAGTTACTAAACATCAGAGGAACTGAATGAATTACTACACAGGCCCAAGGTTCAAACAAAGAGCTCTGGTGGTGTAGTGGTTAAGGATTTGGCTGCTAACCAAAAGGTCTATGGTTCGAACCTACCAGCAACTCTGTGGAAGAAAGATTAGGCAGTCTACTTCTTTAAAGACTTACAGCCTTGGAAACCCAAGGAGAGTTGCTATGAGTCAGAATCAACTCAATGGCAGTGAATGAGTGAGTGTGAAGGTTCAAACTGGATGAAAATTTAGCCCTTCTTCCCCTCTACAGTCCAGCAGATGAAGAGCCATGTGAGGTATAAAAAAAGGAAGAAACTGAATTTTCCTTACAAATCTGAATGAGTGTGAATAAATGAAGGGTTCCAAAATACATGTGTTAAATCCTTCTTAAGCACTCACATTTTGGCTGCTGGAGAAAAATCACAAATTGGGTGAGCTCAATCTCTACTGGGCCCACGGTGCTATGGTAACATGTCTCTGGACTCTGTTCTGCCATTCACCTCAGGGCTATTCCAAACCTTCAGTTGTCTTAAGCCCATTGCATCCTTACCCCCTCAATCTTAGCAGATGGCCTTGCCTCTCAGTTCACAGTAAAACAGACTTTATGATGCTTGGAGAGAGACATCTCCTATATGTCACTAGGAGTCTATGAAACAAGTACATTATCTCTCTAGTCATCCATCCCTCTATCCCTTTCCCACCCAGCGCTCTATCATATTGATTACAAAGTATTTTCTGAAATAATCAACTCATTTTACCATCAACAAAGTCTTCTATCAAGTAGCCATTCTTTTGAGGATCTGCTCTGAAGAGGAGATAATGGGTTCTGAGGTTACACTTCTCTCTTTCTCTGGGGATCTTAAGGATATTGGTGAGACTCAGTCACTGGTCTCTTCTGCCTTAATTTTATTTTTTTTCTATAGTGATATCTCTTCCAACCAAGAACAATACTCTCCACCCCCCCACACCCCAAAAAAAAGACACACACAAAAACCCAAACCTATTGCCATCTGCTTGATTCTGACTCATGTCAACCCCATGTGTTACAGAGTAGAATTGGTTTTTTGGGTATAATCTTTATGGAAGCAGACCACCAGGCCTTTGTTCTGTGGGGCTACTGAGTGGGTTGGAACTGCCAAACTTTCAGTTAGCAGCTGAGCACAAACTGTTGGCACCACTCAGGGACTTGATCCATGAATAACAGACTAACACTCTGCAGCCAATCAAAGAAAAGTGTGAACATGAATATCTTGTGATCATTCAGGAAGATTCCTTAGCTTTCACCAGAAAACAAGGTGAAATTAATTTAGCCATTTCTCCTGAATGGAGAAAAAAGAAAATGAAATGGATTCCAGAGCCAGGCTGCCCAGTAGAACTCTACAATGATGGAATTATTCCAAATCTGCATATCCCTATATGGTAGTACTTGAAATGTGGCTAATGTGACAGAGGAACTGAATTTTTCATTTCATTTTATTTGCATTTAAATTTAATTTACCACATGTGGGTTAGTGGCCACTAACTTACACAGTGCAAGTCTGGAGACATTAGAATAATGAAGCTGAGGGTAACTCAGGAAATTGTCTGGTAAAAGTTACATTGGGTTAGAAACCAACTTGCTCCTAATACTTCTGGCAGTTGAGGTTTAGAGGTGCTGTAGGATTCTAGTCTACAAATGGAGAGCTCCATGTCAGAATTGAATGCATAAAGAAAAGTCTCCATATAATAAGCAGATTTGGACACCTGCTTATCCTGTAGCTCACTCTGAATTTATTCTTCAATGTACCATCACATACAGATGCTGGGAATTATTAATACCTGGAACTCTGGTCTGGACAGAAGCAACAAGTTCTTGGACAATTTCATCATTGCTTTTTCCCTCTCCACCTGCAGATGACCTTGGCTGAACTTCAAGTATGGTGTTGATTAAAGTGTTGGTCTCTTTGTACTGTAGAGTGATAGGAGGCAGAACAATTAAGATTCACATTCTTAAAAAATAATTTTGTAGCACATATAGTTCACTTATAGAAATAATGGCAGTTCTCAAGAACAAGGAAAAAGAATTATGTTGAAGACAGAGTTGGTAAAATGTGCTCATTGGAAATGCATAGTACATAGTTGTCAGTATTAAACCTTAGTATCTTTAATCATTTAAAAGGCAAATATGAAAATAAGGAAGAAATCACAAGAACACAGTTTTAGGATATGCTTTCATTTAAATAGCATTTTTCCCAATAAGAAAAGTAGCATGGCTCATTATAAAAAAAAATTCTAGAAAATATAAAGAGAAACTACTCATGATCCTGCTGTCCAGAGATAATTATTTATAACATTTGGTTTTCCCCTACTTGGGTATTTTCTACCTATGCATGCATCTAGTTTACAAGATTGAGTCCATACAATTTATATAATATTCCTTTTTCAGTTTGCTTTTTCCATGAGCATTTTCATACCACTGAAAACTTTCTGCAGATCTGGCTTATACTGACTGTGTGTCATTTCATGGTAACAATGTGCCATTGTTAATATGGTTGTTTATCTACTTTATGAACATTGTTAGATCTTATAGAACTCCTGGGATAGGATCTGTATATGAATTTCATCTTCTAACTTTGAAAGTTTTAAAATGATACATTACTAGAACTATCTAGAAAAGTATTGTATCAATTTATGCTCCCAAAAATAGTGTATCAGGGGACCTGTCTTTCTGTGTCTTTGCAAGAATTAATATCATTGCATTAAAAATGTTTCCCATTTAATAGGTAAAAATAGCTTTTCATTGTTTTGCAATTCTTTGAGGATTAGCAGAGTTAAACTTTTTAAAATCTGTTCATTGGCCAACTGTATTATTTCTTTATAACATATGTGTTTTGTACATTTTTTATTTTTTAGTATATTTATTGTTGATTTTTAAGAGACGTGTATATAACGATAGTTAACTCTTTGTTTTTTGGGTTTCAAAAATGTTTTGGTTTGCCATTTAGCTTGTCATTTTCTTATGAAATTTTTGGTACAGTAAAATCTACTGGCCCTTTCAATGTGATTTACTTTTCCGTTGCTTTTTATGCTTAGAAATTCCTCTCTATTCTGAGGCCAGTTAAATAGTCTTAATTCTTTTAGATTTTCCTTCTATCCAGGAGCAAGGTATCATTCTCATATATATTTGTTTGAATTTGTTAGAGTTTTACTTTATGTAGATCTCCCTTTTTTTATGAAGGTAATTCTCTTGGTGATTCATGTTTCGATACCAATGTGCTTCCAGGATGGGTGGTGGGATGTTTGAGGTACAGTATTCTCCAAGGCTCACCAAATCCATCCCATTCTAATCTCTAGTCCTTGACCTTGAAACTCCACCTGTACCACTTTCCATCCACTTATCTAACAGAGAAGCTCAGAAAATGACTTAGATCAAGGTCTTGATTGCTAAAATTACAGTTTAAACCATAGACATTCCTTTTGATACTACATTTTACACATTCATTAGGTTTTGAATACATATATGAGGTTATTTACTTAATGCTATAGTTAAACAGTTTGGTTTCCTTGTTTGGTGCCAGTTATTTAATATTATGTCTTCTCCGTTTTAATTCTCAACTTCTTTTTGGATGGAATGAATTTTGAAACATTTACTGCAGCCAGCCTGGTAGGCGTAGACACGTCCAGTGTGCACCCATTCTTAGTACTTCTCTCCTCTAGGACCTAGCAAGGATTATATATACTTCCACATACCTTTGCAGTTAGGTTGGCCATGTTATTAGTACTGGCCGATGAAATACAAGCAGAAGTAATGGCAGAATTTCTGGGCTGAGGCAGTGTAAAGCCTATGCATAATTCTCTAGTGTCTCTCTTCCCATACTGCAGGGAACAAAGAAACTATTTGTTCCAGTTGATGAAGCTACAATACAATAAAGCCTCTGACAGACTGAGTTTGTGAATGACTCTGTGGAGCACAGCCCTTCTGCCAACCTGTCAACACAATCACTGTTATATTAAACCACTGGGATTTGAGTAATTTTGTTAATTGTGGCATAATCCAGCCCATTCTAATATAGTAGCTTTTTTTTTTTTTTTTAACCAGAGAAAGGATGGGAAGTGCTCTAAATGTTTACATGACCCTTTGTTTATTTCCAAATTTGTCCCAAGATCTGTCAAGGCATAGTTTTAGTTTCTTTTTTTTCTTTTTTATACCACACCAAAAATTAGTTCAAGACGCTATTGAAATATTGCTTCTATTTCTTATTGTTTCATTGAATCTGCTTGCACTATCCTCCATACCTATCATCATCTGTCATAATTTTCTATCTTTTTTTTGACATTTAACCTTCCATTCTGGAAAGTTTAAGTTTGTTCCCTTTATCACATGTGTGATGATCTATATATCAGTTCTGGTCTTCAGGTGTCCAAAACATTTTAATTCTGCTATGATTATTTTTAGTTTCCTTGGAATATTTCATTTTCTCACATCTCATGGCATCCTTTGTATTTACATTTTAGCCTGTTCTCATAGTCTGGCTGTCTTTTTTTACAGGCTAGGTTTTCTTATATCCCTTCCTAGATGCCAAAACACATATATATTTTTTCCTGGTTCCTGCAGTAGATGATTTGTAGAGGGTAACTTAGTCTTGTAGATAGTATTTGACTGCTAACCAGAAGGCTGGTGGTTCAAACCCACCAGCCACTCCTCAGAAGGAAGACTGGGCAATCTACTTCTGTAGAGATATTACCTCAGAAACATAAGGAGGGGTCACTATGAGTCTGTTTCAACTCGACAGCAATGAGGGTTTTTTTTTTTTTTTTTTTTAATGTTTATAGCTCTCTTGTGGAGATAACAAAGAATAAAGACACAGAACTCTCAAGTCAGAGAGATAAGCAGCAGGGAGGAGACATAATCATAGACAGTTTTATTTCAAACTATATTAGTG